AAAGAAAGAAAAGCATGTGGTTCCGAGTTGAGGGGAGGGAAAGAAGTCTCCTGATGTCTAAGGAATACAAAAATCCCTCATTTGCCCCTCCCCGCTTTTTCCACTCTGTCTTTTCTCTATGGTCTTATACCCCAGGGAAGTCTACGACCAGGCAGCAATGTTGGCTGAGGAGCGCCTTGGTCACTGAGGAGAAGCTCCTTCTCCAGCAAGTAGCACTGTGCTCCCAAGAATAGGGATCGCCCCACCTCCCTTTTTCTGTCTTCCCGCTGCCTGGGTCCAGCTGCTGGTGTGATCACAAGAAGGACATCCAGAATAAAGCAAAGGAATCCCAGAAAGCTGAGAATCTGAGGGAATCAGAATGCACCACAGAGGAGGCAGAAGTCAGGAAAGCACTATACCCCATTTGTGTCAAGTCACAGAAAGAAGAGAGGAAAAATGAGATGTGGGAAAATAGTTGAAGAAATACTGATTGAAAATGCCTCAAAGGGCCGGCCAGATAGCTCAGCAGACTAGAGCGCCTGCTTAGGCAGAGTGCAACGGCTGGGGTTCAATCCCCAGTGTGCTGTACCAGCCCCGCCCCTGGAGCGATCTGAGACCCGATTGAGACTGGGCATGGTGGTGAGCACCTGTAATCCCAGAACTTGGGAGGCTGAAACAGGAGAATCACTACAAGTAGGAGCTATGTAGTGAGACCCTGTAGACCCTGCAGACCCTGTACCAAATACATAAAAAAAGAAAAAAGAAAGAAAACTCCTCAGATTTGGTGAATAGACAATGGATAGTGTGCACACATACAGTTTTTCTTTCTTTCTTTCTTTCCTTCTTCTTTCTTTCTTTCTTTCTTTCTTTCTTTCTTTCTTTCTTTCTTTCTTTCTTTTTTTTTGTATTTTAGGAAAGGGTCTACAGGGTGTTCAGGGTCTCACTACTAGATTGGACTCATAGTGATCCACCTGTTTACAGCCTCCCAAGAGCTGGGATTACAGGCGTGAAGCACCCAGTCTCAACTGCCACCTTAGTGTGCCCCAGGGACGGAGCCAGCACAGCAGGTCCAGGGATCGAACCCCTGGCCCCTGCGCCTGAGCTATTGGCCAGGCCTAGTTTTTCATTTATTGGTTTTAGGGCTAAGGATAGAACTCAGGGTCTCACCCTGCTAAGAAAGTTCTGTACCATTGCAGAATTCAAGGGTCCAGAGAGACCACAGGAAAAATAGAAGGATTCACTTATATGAGACCCAGCAGACTCACATCCGAAAGACTGAGCCCTGAACAAAGGGAGGACTCCAGTTTTTATGCATTTTGTCGAAGAGGGTTCTTCCTTGAAAGCAGACAGATTCCAAGATATCACAGTACTCTTTACATGAAAAAGTTGTCAACTTTTATCAGTATCCAAGAGAAAGTCAGCTGTTGGAGGGAGGAGGAGTTCAAGGAGGAGCTTCTCAAGGCTAGACGAAAAATCATTGATTTTTCTCTGAATTCTGCTTTTGTCCCACTGAGCTATACCTTAGTTCAGCTGGTTTCGTCTCTTACTGTCCCCCAAGTTTGCTGACCCTTAATTTTGTCCTCCTCTTTGTATTTGAGAATCCCTGTGGGACAGCTGGCTAGGAGCTGCTGCCTGTCTTGGAAGAAGCAAGTGAGACAGGGAAGGGCACAATAGGCTCATCTAGGCAACAGTGTTTCTTATTTCTGCGGGACATCACCAGACCCCTACTGTGTGGCCCAGCTCTGGGCCAGCTGTCGCCCGCTCTTCTCATCTAAACCTCATGCAGCAATTGATCACTCCCTCCTGGGAATGCCCAGCAATCAGGCTATGGTAGCCCAGGGGTCTCTTTGACCCTGTTTGCAACAGGCAGTGGAGCGCTGTGCAGCTCTTCCCCGTGTGCACTCTGTTCAGGGTTTGCAAATGTGATCTTCATTTGTTTACCGACTTTTCCAGAAATCTGCTGTTTCCAGTCTACAGAGTCCCCTTTCCAACAGGACTTTGTATGGTATTTGCTCATTTGTTCTGTTTGTCTCACTTTTATTATTCCTATCCATTTGTCAGAGGAAGAATTAAGGTAATATGTGTTCAATCTACCGTCTTTTTTTTTTTTTTTTTTTTTTTCAGAACCGGGGATTGAACTCAGGACCTTGTGCTTGCCAGGCAAGCACTTACTCTACTTAGCTATCTTCTTCCCCAGCCCCTCAATCTACCATCTTAACACTAGTAGCTCTCCTCTCCATATGTCCTCTGTCCCCATTCCCAGCTTCCCCTGACCCCACATGTATGGCCAAGCAGCTCAGGAAGCTGCCAGTTTTTCCTCCTAGGAAATGGAACTCAGGCCAAATATGGTGGTACAGGCCTGTAAATCCAGCACTCAGGAGGCTGAGGCAGGAGAACTGTTAGTGCCTCAAGAGCAATCTTCCTGCCTTAACCTGGATTACACAATCAGTTCAAGGCCAGACTGAACTACATAGTCAGATCCTACCTCAAAAACAAACAAACAAATTGAATTTAAGATTTTTCTTGGTGTTAGTTTTTGCCCCTTCACAACGTGTGTGTAATTTCTGGGTTCCAACGCTGTGACCCAAATCCAAGCACCACACCCTGGCCAGAGTCCTTTGCCCAAATAGAGTCCAGAATAGATTTTGTGAAAATAGACTTTATTATAATAAAATGTCTTTTTAAACAAATGCCTCCACCATTCCACACTCCTGGAGACCAAGGTGGAGGTGGGGGTTCAGTCAAACCATCTCCCCACCACAGCGAAGGAAACATGCAGAGACACTCACCCAGCCAGGGTGAGAGGTGGGTGGCTTGGGTGAGGGTGGGGTGGCCCCTACCCACTCTGAACAGGGAATGTATGAAAATAGCTGCATAAATCTGTCCTTATCCTCAGCCCCTGGACTCCCACAGGGGTCAGAAGAAAACAATGCAAAAGAGAAGTTGAATCCAATGAGCAAAATAAGGCAAACCCAACTCCTGCTTTCTACCCCCAGCCCCCTGGGTTTCGGGAGGGGAGACATGGGGGCCAGGTGACAGGGCGGGGAGGGGTGGAGCACAGTGAGGCGGGGGCAGGCCCGCTTTGGCATGGCCTTCCTCCTTCCCCGGCCTGTGCTGTGCGGTGGAGGCGAGATGGAGGGGCTGGAGTGAGGCACTGAGTATGTACATATATACACGGCTCCGCCCGCTGCCCCTCAGGGAGACTCCAGTGCAAACTTTCCTTCAAGGGAGGGTGATCAGGACAGCCAGAGCCACCAGGGGGAACAGGCCCCTTCTCCCCTCGGGGTCTTGTCCTGTGTGTGTAGGCAAGGCCAAAGAAGGGACCTGCTCAGCCTGGTAGATTAGACTAGGTGGGTAGACTGGCAGTCAGGCTCTGCTGCGTGCTCAGCAACCCCAGCCAGGGTACTCTCTGTGGGGCTCTGTCCCTCCTACAAGGGCAAGGGGCCTGGCTAGAAGATGCAACCTTCAAGACCCACCTGGCCTCCCACTTCACCAGCTCTCTTTGATTCCCATCCACAGTGTTAACTCAGAGGACGGGAGCCCTGGGCTGTCAGGGCCTCCCGGTCCAGCCTTAGCAGAAACCCGGCCGTCTCCAGGGGCCACTTCTCTCCCTGGGATGGCCACAGTTTCACTCCTTCTTCCCAGAGCCCAGTTTCTTGAGGAACTCTTTCCCTTTGGACAGGAGACCTTGCACCTTCTCAACTGTGCCCTGTGGCTTCCCCAGTTCAGTCCTAGGGAGCTTCCCAGGGCTGGAGACGCAGTGCCAGCCGGGGGGCACTGAGGGTCCTCCTGTTTCAAGCCAGTCCTGGAAGAGGAAAGAGAAAGGTAAGTTCAGGGCTGGTTCCCTCTCCACCCCAACTCCTTTTCTCTTCAGCCTCAGGGGCGGGTGCTGAGGCTGAGAACCAGGTATTGCCACCCCACCGCTGGCCCAGACACACAGAACACATGGGTGAGTGGAGACAGGACACGGCGTCTCAATTCTGCCTGATTACCTTTTGGCCCAGGACGGGCCCCTCCCCTTCCCTGAGTCTCACTACGTGGCCTAAACTGGCCAAGCTGGAGAGGTCTGGGAACCTGACCCTTGGGATGAGTACCCTCGACTTCCCACCTGTCATCCCCCTCCCAAGGAAGGGAGAACAATGACTTAAGAGGCCACTGCCCCTCCAAGAAAGGCAGTGCCAAAGGAACTGCACCTCCTAGGCAGAAAGGGGGGTCCTGGCCAAACTGGTTGGTGAGGTCTCTCAGGGCCTTCTGGGAGTGAAGTGGTGGCCACCCCATTAGGACAGAGGTCTGGACTCTCAGTGGGATGGCCCAGGCCCTGAGGGCATGTCCCAGTGGGAACATTTCTAGCTCCACTCCAGCATCTCTCTTGTTGGATCTCCTTCTAGCTCTGCTTGCAACTTTCAGCTGCCCCCTCTGCCTTACCCAGGCAGTGCTCTGTGGTGGCATAAGGACAGGGATTTGGGCAATCAGGGGAGCCACCAGAAAACCATTCCCACCTGTAATCCCACATCACCACCAGGGCCTCCTGCACCTGGCACAGCCCTGTCAGTTCTTGACAGGCTGCCCCGCTTCCCCTCCTGCCTCCTGCCTCCCTCAAATCCCCTGTCAGAACCAACCACAGAGTCTGACCAGAGGTGAGAGACCTGGCACACAGCCAAGCACCCCTCTGCCTGCTGGGTGAAGCAGCAGGGACTCCCAGGCCCAAGAGTTGAAGCACTGACTGTCAAGGCTATGGCCAGTGGGGAGACCCAGGGGAGAACGGTTTGGGGATACCTGTGGAGCTCAACTCTTGAAGGCTCCCTTACATTCCTCAACCAGAGACACTTGAGTGCTGGTAGTAAAAGCATGTGTGTGACCTCCCTAGTGGGTCATAATGCAGAAGGGTGGGATGGATATTATTATTGGTGACGTTACAGGATCCTCTTTCTGTCACCCATAATAATCATTATAATACCATAATAGTATTATAACACAACTGATAAGTCATAACATACAGGAACATAATGGTCTATAAGCCACGTGGGTTATAAGGAGACAAAGGAGCCAGCTAACATGGCACATCATATGCTAAGACATGTGCCCTGTGACAGCTGGCACTGCCCAGGGTAAAAGCAAACAAGGGTAAGGGGGCAATGAGGGAGCATGATCTCACTAAATCTGGCTTGTGGCAAAAGCTCCCTCCCCACTCCCTAGAAGAAAGTGGGGAAGCCAAGCCAGCTGATTTGACACAAAGGAATGCTGTCTGATCACAGTGATGTGAGGGTGGGGTTGCATGGGAGGCAGGGGCCGGTCCCCCCACTTACATGTTGCTCTCTCTACATATATCTATCTCCAGCTAGCACTGGACTCTTCTCCTCCTCGTTCTCTGAGAACAGGGAACAAAGAGAGGAGACGGGTTACTGACAGCCCCGGAGGTTCTCCACCCAGTCACCAGATGGCTCCCGCTTGGCACGGCCTTTGAGCATGGAGCTCTGCACAGGAAGCCCTGGGCCTCATGCTTGGGGCGTGGCCTGCCCACCCTTGCCCTGCGCTCTGAAGCTGGAGGTTCAACTGTCCCCCACCTGTCCCAAGGAGAGGCAGGCTGCCAGAACAAGAACCAGGAAGCTGGGCTTGCTGGGCTCCTGGCCCCATGGGGCATCTGGGGACAGACAGCCCAGCAGGGTGGGAGTACTTGAACCAGGGCGTGGGCTGCCTAGAGGTTCAGTGAAAAGGACCCCCTCCCCTGCACTGGTCCAAGGGTGTGGGCCTGGGGTCAAGGCCATAGCTATCACCCCTTGGCAGACAGGGACGCATCCAAGCCCCTCCTCTGGGGTAACTCAGCTCAGCTGCACCCCTCCCCCACACTGTCCTGGCCCCACTTGGCCAGCAGGGAAAGGACAAATGCTCAGGTCCTCACTCACTTGACTTTCCGGCCGTGGTATTGTCATGAGCTCCCTACTGGGGCTGCCTACTTCAGGCTTGGGGCCCTCCAGAAAGTTGGATGGAACCAGGCCCCTCTGTCCATTCAGTTCCCCCTGGGGAGGAGATGCTGATGAGACGGAGACAGAGGTCCCAGCCTTGTCCCCTAGAGCCTGAGGCCTTTGGAGAACAGTCTGGGGCCCACATCACTGTGCAGGGAGGTGACACTTTCCTGGGGACAGCTGTCCACCCCCTGCCCGGCTGGGAAGCTGAGGTACAAGGCTCCCTCCCCAACAGCATCCTCACATAGTAGAAACCATCATCATCCATGCTCCCAAACACAGTAATGATGTCCCCTGCCCTGAAGGGCAGTTCTGCCTGTGGAGACAGCAAGAGACAGGTGTCAGCCTCAGAGAGGCCCTGCCACCCCTAGCTCACATCACTAGGCACCATCCTAAGGTCTTCACCTCCACATCCATATTGGGGGAGTTTTCCCGGGGGTTGTAGTCAAATGCAGCTACCATGGGGTGGGGAGCTTTCAGGGCAGCAGAGGCAACGGGCTCTGGGGGACCTGCAGAGGGGGTAAGAAGAATCAGGACTCTCTCCAGACCACCCCTGTGCCCTACTACCTTCTGCACTGGAAGCAGGATGGGTCCCTATTTACCACCATCTGACCTGTTGTAGCCCCTGGGGAGAGGCCAGAGGTCACCCCACCTTCCTTCTTTCCCCAGACAGCCCTGCCATGGGATGGCTCCGTACCTGGGCAGGGCTGAGAGAGACCTTCCAACTCTGCTGTGGAGAGAAGATGCCTCTGAATCCTGTCCTGCCCTCCCTGCCTCATCCGGGGCTGGGAGTGGTAAGGGCAGGCAGGATGTGCCCCCTCAGGAAGGATGTGGGAGGCGAAGGGTACCCTGAGAGCCCTCAGAACACTCTGGGTAAGTGACATGGGCAAGGATGCCCAGCATTTACAGTCTACCGTTTTGGGGAACAGAAATCTTGGCAAACCACCTCCCACCCCCACCAGAATGAAACCCCCCACTGGAGCAGATCAAGCTGGGTGAAGGGCTCCTCTGATTCCTTTTATCTGCTCTGAATCCCACAGAGAGCCAAGCAGTGTCACCTCAACCCCCACCCACACACTTGTCCATCTCAGGCCCCCTCGAGAGTTGGGGTGTCACTCACCTTTCTTGGAGCGGCGGGGCTTGGGGGGAGGCCCAGGTGTGTGAGCTGTGGAATACACGAAGGGACTGTTCCCTGACCCAGGAAGGCAAGTAGGTATGAGAGAAACTGAGGCAGGACAGGGAAATAGAACAGGCTCTGGAATCTCCTCTCAGGGCTGAGCTCATTTACTGGAGTGCCCAACCAGAGTATCTTCCTGCGTCCCAATCTCCAAGCCCAGAGCATGGCCAGAAGCCCTGGGTTCTCCCACACGGGCCTCCCCTCAACACCAAGCTCCCACTGCATGCAGCAGTCCCAAGGGGGTGGCCGGCCTGGCCTTGGTTCCAATGGCTCTGTGTCAATGCAGCACCCAGCCACCCTCGGTACACGAATGGCTTGGGATAAGGGTGGGAAGGAACCCAGGTGGTGGGACGTGGGGGAGGACAGCAGATCATACCTGTGCCCTCAGTGACAACATCTAGAGACAGATAACCCCTCTGGAACAGCAGCTGTCTCCCTGTGGGGCTGTCCACAGCCACCTCAGCCACCATGTTGCAGGGGATGTAGCCTGTCTGGCCTCCACATTCCCCCTGATAGAAGCCATCAGCATCTTTGTCCCCAAACACCTAAAAGCAAAGGCCAGCTATCTGTCTCAGGAGGCCAGTTTAGCTTGCTCCCTACACCCCCAGACCTTGAGACCTGGCAGCACCCCACCTAGCGCTGCAGAAGGGGGGTCTGTCTTCTGCAGCCCATGGGACAGAAGAAGGGAAACAGCTAGGAATCGGGAGGCAAGGAAAATGAGAAAACAACCCTTTCTGTACCACCATCTGCTGTCTTTCCCTCCCGTGCAGTCCAGACTGGACCCCCAAACCCTCAGAGAAACAGCAGGAAGCCTTCAATCAATCTTTGGGGGAATAGTAAAAGTGGAAAAGTTAACAGTGGGCAGGTACAGGAGGTTTGAACACTAGGTCACAGACTCCACAAACAACCTTGGGAGGCAGACATCAATACCCCCATTTTATCAATGAGAAAACTGAGGCCTGTAAGGGGTAATTATGCAAAGTAACACAGCTAGAAATAGCAGAGACAGGGTCCAATCACATCATTTGGCTCTAGAAGCTGTGTCCTCCTGCCCCACCATGATGAGGAGGGGCAGGAGGGATACATCATGATGTAGCCATGCCATGATGACTAGACTGGACAATGACTAGATTCTGGAGTTCCAGGCAGAGGACGAGCTCACCTTCAAAATCTGGCCCTCCCGGAAAGGGAGCTCCTCTTCTCCAGCATCAGGGTTGGGCGACATTGACACGGGGTCATAGTCGAACAGAGCCACAAAGACCCTGATAGGTAAGTCATGGTGAGCCAGTGTTTCCGGGGGACTCCTTGGAGGGGCTGTGAAGAGGGCAGAGGACGGGGCCATGGCTCACTGAGGCTTAGCACCAGCTCCCTCGGGCCAAGCCCAGCCCCACTAGGTGCTCACCCTGCTCGGTGGTGCTCAGCCTGGGCACCCGGGGCCCTCTCCTCTGAGGGCCCTTCTGCCCAGGGCTGTCCTGCCCTCTGGCCTCCCCAGTCTCTGCTGCCTGCAAAGAGAAGGCAACAGATGGCAGAAATGACAGGCCACCCCTCTCGTGGGCCCGCGCACCCCACTCTGTCCCGCCAGCAGAAGCAACAGCGTAAGCAGCACAACAGAACAGGGGCAGAGCGTTCCTCTCCTGAGTCCTCGATGGCCTTGTGGAGGCACCTGATGCCCCACTGAGGGAGTGACAGGAGGGAAGGCCCAGCCCAGTCCCCCAGCAGATGAGTGCAGTAGAGGGAACTGAGGTGGCCAAACAGCATGAGAGGGCTATTTCTCCTCGGTATGAGGGCTGGTGACTCTCGGACATGGCATCACAGTCAGGGTCCTGAAGACGTAACTAGCTACGCAGAGCAAAGGGCCACCCTGCCCGAAGGTGGCAACTGGCGACTAGTGGTGACAGAACAGTGTGCGTCCCAGTTTCAATCAGCAGAAGCAGCAAAGCGGTGGAATGTGGTAGGAGGAGGCAGGTGAGGGGGCCAGGAGGCCCAGCCCCACCTCTGCTGATGGAGGCTGCAGCATGGAATGGGAGTGGCCAGTGAGCAGCAAGCAGAGCCACCAGGCGGCAGCAGGCAGGGGCTGCCGGGGTGGAAGTGGGCACAGACCCGGGAAGGCGGCTCCTTGGCTCTGCTGGTCACGCTGCGGCCTCTCCTCTCTGGCTCCCCTTTCTCCCAGGCTGGGAGGTGTGGGTAGGGGCTAGGGCCCAAATTGACCTTCAGAGGCCCCCGTGGCCTTCCTACAGGCGCCGTGGCCCAGGGCTCCCCATCTGCAGGGTAGCAGGAGCTGGTGATGCTGATGCCCCCACTGCCCACATCCTGATCATCCTCAGAGTCATATTCAATGCTGATTTCCGAGCCCTTGGGGGACAGGCAGCTGGCCAGGCCTGACTCAGGGGCTCGGCCACGGGAGCATCTCCGAGAAGTGCCCGGCCGCCCTTTCCCACCAGCCTCTAGTCCGCCCCTGATGCCCTCAATCACAGGGAGGTTGCTCCGGTCCCGTGAGGGTGCTGGCCGTGCAGAGGCCTGGGAGCTGCCATTGCTGAGAAGCCGGCTGCAGTGTTCTCGAGGATCTGGAGGCCGCCTGCGGCTTGGGGGTTTCTCAGGGGAGCCACTTCCTCTCCTCCGGCTGTTTCCACCAACCAGTCCATGCATATCCTCCAGGTGGTCCCTGGCCCTGGAGGGCTCAGGAGACAGGGGACACAGGCCAAGTCCTGGGGGCTGACCACTGTCACAGCCCAGCCCTGGTGATGGAGGCTCCGATGGACTGGGGTCTTGAGAAGAACAGACTGCCCCTGGCTTCCCCTGCTCCTCAGTCTCTTCTCCATCTTCCTCTTCCTCCTCCTCAGGGATGATAAAGAGCTTCTTGCTGCAGAACTGCTGGAGGGGCAGCTCCAAGATCTGCTCCAAGATTTCCTCATCGCTGTCAGTCTCACAAAAGGGGTCAGGCTGGGGCTGGGGGTGGGGAGAAGAGAGCAGCGGAGAAGAGATGTCCATGGAGAACAGGGAAGAGCTGTGATCCTTGCCCTCCAGTGAGGACAGCGTTTAGGGCCAGCCCACAGCCCTCCCTTAGCATTCTCCAAGAGAAAAGAATCAGAGGGACCATGACAGGTCCAAAGTCACACACATGTCCAGGTAGAACCAGAGGAAGAATTAGGGAACACAACACACCCACAGCTCAGGTGCCAGCCCCTGTGGGGAAGGAGCATCAGCGAGCAGGCTGCCCCTGTCACCTTGCAGAGGCCACCCCATCCCATTCCCAGAGGCTGGCAGCATCCACTGGCCAAGGCAATGCATGCAGTAGGCTGAGGAAACACGTACAAAGGAGCGCTCCTCCCCCCTGATCCTCCTAGCAAGGACCAGACCCATTCTGGGCCTTTTCCTATCTGCATCATGAGCCAGGACTGAGGCCAACACGCAGTGCAGTGATGGAGCAGCTGCTGATACTTGCGACGGGGGCTCTTGGAGCCTGAGGCCCACCAGCCCTCCCCACCCCATTACCTTGGCCCCACTCTCCCTGCTGCTGCCACCAGCAACCTGCTGCTGGAAGGAGCAAGGCCTGGAACCCAGCTCGTCCTCCTCCTCTTCTTCCTCCTCCTCTTCCTGGATGTCTGACAGGTCTGAGTTGCGGCCATGATCCACGACAGGGTTTGCCAGATGAACCCCAAGCTCTGCGGTATCTTCCCTCTGCAGATAGGGAGCCAGGGAAGAAAGACAGGAAGGGCTCTGAGAGGCCCTGGGGGCTGTGGGGCAGGGTCAGCCCCAACAAGAATAAGACAGGGTCCTTGGCAGAGAGAAAAAGAGCCATGCCCAGAATACAGGTGTAGGCCTTACATGGGAGCCACAGTGGGGAGAGAAAAATGGGAAGAAAAAGGGAATAAGAAACAGACACACAACACAAAGGTGTCAGAGCCAACCAGAGCAGAGCAAAGTGAAGAGAGCACCCCTATTTGGGATAGCAAAGGTTAGGGAGGCAAGCCTTGATTCTGTGACAGTGTCTCCAGCCTCTACCTCAGCCCTGGCTTTCGTCCCGGGGTCGGCTCCATGGCAGGCTTCAGTACTTGGCGTCCTCAGGGTTGGTACTCCCTGCATGGGGTAGACCATAGGACCGGCCTCTCCTATGGTCCATTCAGCCTCCTTCGTGGCCCTGCAGGGAGCCGCAGGGCCAGGGCCTCCCTTGCCTGTGGTTGCCTCACCAGCCCTCTTCTCCTCTGAGGCTCCCAGGACAGCTGCCCCAGCCTCCTCCTGAAATAGACAGCACTGAAGAAGGGCACAAACCCAGGCCATTCTGCCAGCCTGTACCTGCTCGCCTCCACCAGACAGGGTACCTGGAAGCAAGGTGCTGCAGGTTCCTCCTGGGCTCCTTTTGGCATCTCTCTGGTGAGGCTGGCTGGGGGGCCTCCCGGAGGCTCTGGACCTCCACAGGGAGCAGGGCACCACAGGGGACAGCTGGGGTCCCCAGGCCCTGGGGATGCTACAGCAAGAGGAGTTCTAGCCTCCGGGCTCGGTTGTGGCGAGGGGCAGGTGACTCCGGCAGACAAACAGGCGGAAGCCAGGGCTGGAGCAACAGGAGCAGGGATGGAGTCGGCCGACTCGCCGTGGGGCGACATGGTGCGCACAGTCACTTCGCGGCACACCTGCAGCAGCTGCAGCTGCGACAGCTCCACCAGCACGCTGCCTGCTGTGGGCGAGGCCACCTCCATGATCTACAAGGAGCAGGAGCACGGGGGGAAGGAGAGGCTGAGAGAGCTGAATGCGATGCCACAAGGACATCAATGGCAGCGCATATCCTGCGAGGCTGAGCCCTCTGCTTGCTTTATCTCACTCAGTCCTCCTGGCCTCATGGCTTCAGTGGTAGAGCAGTTTTAAATCCCTCGGGCCCAAATGCCAGGGGCTGCGTATCACTACCAGGCCAGAGAGACAAGGGCTGTAGGCGTGGCAAGGAGGGTTGTCCAGGTGTATTTCCCAGGCCATACCTTCTGTCCATCAGCATAGATGGCATAGCCTGTGACCCGGACACCGTTGGAGGTACCAGCAGCATCAATGGTGACTGGGAGCCAACTGATGATCAAGATGCCAGGGGAGGGCCCTGGCTCAATCTGCACATCCAGGGGGGCATCAGGTGGGCCTGGGGGAAGTCAGGCATGAAACCCAGAAATGTAGGCTACTCCCTGCCTGAGACATCAGCCCCATCTGCCATTTCACTGACACTGGCAGCAAGGCCAGCCTCCTCTGCCACCATCACCCATCGCTGGCCTCCTGGGTGTTCCAGACAGCAGTGCCTACCCCTTCATACCTGCAGGGAGTGTAGTGAACTGCAGGGTGGAAGCCCGATGCTCTGGCCTCTCCCAGCCTGGTTCCCAGGCTCCTTCGGGTGGGAGCTGAGCCTCTACCCGGGCCTGATAGAGTGTGCCAGGCCGTAGGTTGCAGAAAGTGGTCCAGTAGGTGCTGGGGCGGGCAGGTGGGCACTCTTCCCCGTTGAGGTAGATGGCATGGGCCAGGTTGCTGTTGCCGGGCACCCAGGTGATCTCTGCAGATGTGGCTGTCAACCGGTGGACTCGCAGCTGGCTAGGTACTATCCTGGCTCGAGCACCCACAGCCAAGCAACAGCGCAGAGGGTCGGAGCTGCCCCTGCTGGTCAGGGCCTGGACGGAAACATGGAGGGGCCCCGCCCGCAAGTCCAAGTTCTCAAGCACAGCCTTGGGGGGCGCCCCAGGCCCCAGGGCCTGCCGCAGCTCCCCGTTCACACAGATGTGGAAGCCACAGAGTTCTACTCGCTCAGGAGGCAGCTCCCAGGCCAGCACCACACTGTGGGCCAGCTGCTTGAGGACCACCAGATGGCGAGGGTAAGGCACCGAGAGAGCACCCAGGCCCTCCGGCGGGGGGCTCAGGCTGAGCTCCTCCCCTGCGTTCTCCTCCTCCGGTCTGGGCTGGCTATGTCCCCCGCTGCTCTGGCCCCCACTACTGCTGCCACCCCCACCTCTGCTCAGGAAACTGAGTTCAGGGCCTGAGCTGTGAGACAAATCGGCCAGTTCCAAAGGGAGGGAGGTCAGGAGGTCATCATCAGACACACGCTCCACAAAATTGGAAGGGACCAGGCCCCTTCGGCCATCCATGAGCTCCCCTGGCAGAGGGAGGACAGGAAAAGGCAGGGAAGAGAAAGACAAACAGAGAACAGGTAAAGAAAACCCCATTCGATAAATGCATTTTTGGAATGGCTAGAGAGTGATCCTAATTAAGCATTTGGTTTGAATCAACATTTACCCATCAGCGCTTTTAAAAGACAAGAGCAGTCAAGCTCTGGATTAGAGAATTATTGTTGGGTTTTGTAGGCGTTTTTGAGTTATATAGGACAGTGCTTCTTAAATTTTAATGCGCATGTGAATCACTTGCAGATTTGTTAAAATGGAGATTCTAATTCAGTTATGTCTGGGTGGAGCTGAGTATCTGCGTTTTTAACATGGCACCGAGGACGCTGGTAGAGAAACGATGTAGGACAGCACCCATCACCCAAGGAGATGCACGAAGCATTTCTAAAGTGTCATGATATCTACAACTTGCCTAAAAGTCATTTTTTGAGCTATATATGTATGATAAAGTAAATATAGCAAAGTGTGAAAAACTACAAAATCTCGGTGAGTATATAAGTACTCTTGATTTTGCTATATATTTGGAAACTTTCTTACTAAAAAGATGAAAAAGGCAAACAGGTGAGGAGCAGAAACAAGGGCTGATGGCGTAGACTAGTGGTACAGCACATGCTTAGCATGTGTGAGGCTCTTGGTTCAATCCCCAAAACACATGCGTGCACACACACACACACACACACAAAGATAACAAAACAGACTGTGCTGGTTGGTTCTACATGGGCCTGAGGAGAGCATGAAGACTGTGGCGCCCTTCATCTTCCTTTTGGAAAAAACATTCACACAGAAAAGCGATGCAGGAACCGGAGAGATGGCTCAGTAGAATAAGCGCTTCCATGACAAGTGCAAAGGTCTGAGTTCAATCCCCAGTTCCGCCAAAAAAAAAAGAAAAGAAAGAAAAAGAAGAAGGAGGAGGAGGAGGAGGAAAAGGAGGAGGAGGGGAGAAATCTTTAGAGACAACAGAAGGAAGCACCAGAAAAAAAAGTCACTTGTGGGCCCAAAAGACATTAGGACCTGCTGCAGGCCCGTGTCTCAGAACACGTCTGGCAGTCAGCCCAAGCAATAGCTAGCGGTGAGTTCACTATCCACATCAGTTCTGAAGACTTAGCAAGAGTTTTTAAACAAACGTTTGTTGTTTGAGGGATATCAGGGGAGAAGGAAGCCAGGAACACACATGTCCTGTCATGCCATGGCCAATTCAAGGAAGGGAAAAAACGTCAGGGAGAAAATGACCTCAAGGAGGAAAGGGTAGCACAGGCCAGGGCCCAGGGCAGAGCGGCAGGGTCCACAGAACTGAGGTGCAGAATCCATGATCGTTTACCCAGCAGTAATCCGTGGCACCCATCCTCTCACTCTGCTTATATAGGAAAGAAGTACAGTGGGAGAACTTAAGAGACAGTAGGGTGTCTAAGTTAAAAAATGTAGTAAGCATTTTAGGGGAGAGGATTGAATGGTGGCTACTCAAAAATATACCCCACCCTAGTCCCTGGAACCTGTGAAAGTGATCTTATCTGGAAAAAGCATCTTTGAAAATGAAATTAAAGGGGCTGGAGAGATAGCTCAGCAGAATAAGCACTTGCCTGGCAAGCGCAAGGGCCTGAGTTCAATCCCAGGGATCTCAAAAAAATAAAATAAATAAATAAAAATAAATTAGAAAGTGAGCTCAGACCAGCCTGAACTGCATAATGAGACCCTGTCTCAAAAGAAAAAAAAAAAAGTGATTAAAGATCTTGAGATGAGATCATCCTAGCTTACCAGGGTGGGTCCTAAATCTAATGACAAATGTTCTTATAAAATAAAGACACAAACAAGATGGATACTCTGAGAGGAAGAGGCAACATGACGGCTGGTGCAGAAATTGGAGCGAGGTGCCCATACCCATGTAACACATGGAGCCCCCAGAAGGTGAAAGGGACAAGAAAGGCAAGCTCCCCAAGAGCTTCTAGGGGGAGTGCAGCCCTACTAACACCTTGGTTTCCAACTGCAGCCTCCTGAAAAAGCCAGAGAGACAACACGGGTCTGCTTTTTGAAGCCACCCAGTTGGTGGCAATTTGTAAGGCAGAGCTGGGCAATTAATGCTAACTCTAGTGCTGGGAGCGTTGAATTATAATCAGAGCCTTGAACAAACCTGCAGCCTGCAAGGCCAGAGCCTGGGCCAGTCAGGCTCAAGCCCACTCAGCTCACGCCACTGAGAATAGCACAGCTAGAGCCAGATGCAGACGAATAAAGTGTCTTAATAAAGCATCTTAATAAAGCTGCACAAGGAATAGGGCACCCTGAACCCAGTTATCTGCATGCCTTTAAATCTACTCCTATTCCCCTAGTTCGAATTCTATTTTTTTGAATTCTAATAACTTGGCGGGCATTAATACTTATGCTTTCTGCTGGCCTCCTCTTTCAAATGCTGTTGTTTGTCTCATTCTCCCAGAAGCAATTTAATCCTGCTCTTCAAAATCTATCCCTTGGGAAGTTTAGCTGTTTGGACCACAAAACTGGGTACCATCATTCTTACCAGCTATTCAAATGATGGGCAGAGCGCCCAGGGAAAAAGAGTTGAAGGGGAGCCAAAGCTTTCAGTGCTCCACACTCAGATCTAACCCTCTCCTACACCTCCACATTCAGCATGGCCTCTGCCCTGCCCTGCCTGTACCTTATTCCAGTCTCTGTCCTCCCCGTTACTAAGAATACAGCATGGTATCGGGCCAAGACCACTCTGCAGTAGGCTCCGTCATGAGACCTCGTGTAAGACCCTCACACGTGCTTACAGTCTAGCATCCAATCTACACTAAAGGCCAGACTTCAAGTGTCACTGGTGTCCACCACCGCCCTGCTCTGTTTAGCAACATAAAAATGAATCGAGCCAAAATCCCCCATGACTGTGGTATGTGCTGGCCGGGCCTGCTTGAAGCCAGAGCTCTTTCAGTCTTTCCCCACTGGCTGTCGGGTCTCTGAATGCCTCTCAACCGAGTCTGAAAAGCTATGGTGGGCTCAGCATGCTGGGAACAGAAATGGATGAGGGGAGGTCTTTGGGAACAGGGGCATAAAGACCAGAGAATAGGCAAAGAATGATCCCTACTACTGTCCTACCTTCAAAAAACCCATCCTCGTCCATATTGCCATAGATATAGATGTATTCGCCAGCTGTTAGTGGAAGCTCTGCCTCTGGATTCTCGTTGGGGCCCTCAAAGGGGTTGTAGCTGTGGAGGGGCAAAGAAAAGGAGGACAGCAACCTAATTGCATCGCTACGTCAGTCTTCTCTCACCCTGCAAAGCCTTTATAAAGGAGAAAGATCTGCTTTCCACCTTTAGCCAAGTAGAGCATTCATTCCGCCCAGTTTGGCTCAACTAGGTTATTGAGAACATGCCCACCTGGGATCTCTGTAACACCCCACCATTTCCAGAGGTCTTCATCTTCACCCAGCCCCACCCAGCCCCACCCTCCCATACACCCCTAATCTGGAAGGGGAGAAGCAAGAATGAAGGGCCCACCTATAGCGTGCGAGGAAGACCTGGATCCTGGATCCTCCGGGGTTGCCCTCTGTCACTGCTGGGAGCAGGGAGACGCTATCTACCTCCAGCTCCTCCACCTCACTGGCTGTGTCCACCTGGGGGAGACAGAAAGGGCTGGCTCCTCTCCAGGGCCCGGGCCAATGGCACAGCAGGCAGGTTTGCAGGCTGAGTCAGAGCAGAGTCACTGTTCTCGGCACAGATGCAGCCACCCTGGCGAGGCCAGTGCCACAAGCCCCTGAGGTTTCTAAGCAGCGCCTGAGCCAGCAGGTCCAGGAAGCACCCACGGGCCAAGGCAGAGGTAGTAGGCACAAGCTGGGCCCATCTCCAAGTTCTGGCCTCTAGTCCAGCAGCCCAGTAAATAAGACCAACAGGGGCTAGGCCATGTGGGGTGGGTAGTAGAGGAGATTGAACCCAGGGCCTTTCTACTGAACTACATCAATTTTTTGTTTGTTTGTTTTGTTTTGAGTTTTTTTTTAGGACAAGCTTTCACTAAGTCACTTAGTTGCCCAGGCTGGGCTCAAACTTGCCATCCTCCTGCCTCAGGCTTGTACCAACACTCCCAGCTTCAGCCAAAGCATGTTGGCTGTAACTAGGTGGCAGCAAGGAAGCAGAAGGGGCTAAAGAAGTCTCTGCCTCTAGCGTAGTGACAGCGCTTCCGTAGTTTGGCCCGCAGCCATCCACCACCACTTCTAACACCAGCGCGACGACTGTATCCCACAAGGGGGCAGCAGAGGCCCAGGGCTGGGCTCCACCACATTCTAAACTGCTGCGACCTGCCCCCCTATACTTTCTTGAGTTTGTGGGCAGAAGGACGTGAAGGTGATCCAAAGAGCTGTGAGTGACGCCCAAGAACTTAGCGGTGGGAACAGCTGCCATGTGTTAAGCATTTCCAGGATGTCCCTCAAAGAAAAAGGCACTTCACTTATGTCTTAGTCCAGGTGACCTTTGCAACCACCTTTGGAGACAGGTTTTATTATCCCCACTATTCAGATAAGTAGACCAGAACCCAAAAAGGATGATTCACCAAAGACGAAGCTGGGACTTGAAGCCCAGAACCTGGGCACTTTCTCGCACAGCCTGCTCTTCTCCAGATGCTCTTCTGAACATCATTAGGTGGATTCTGGCACCCAGGGGCTCCTTCATCCAACCCAGAACCCTAGGGCCTCACTGCACTCCTGGAGGCTGGGGCTGGATGGCCCCAAAGGGGGGCTGGCAGGAGGGCCCTAGTGAGTAGTGTCAGGCTCCACCCATACTCCCCACCTAGGGAGACATCCACAGGGTGTCGGCCTCCCAACTTGGAACCAGTAGCCCTGCTCCTGAGGGCTCCCCAAGAGACAACAGCCAACCCTCCGCCCCTTCCCCAAGCCAATGCAAGACCTTGGCCTCTCCCTGGCACTGACCTCCGGTGTAGGGCATGATTTGGGGCTATTGTGGATGGACTCAGAGCGTGAGGAGTTAGAGAGAGACTCTGCCTTCTTGGCTGTCCTTCGAGGGACCCCAGTAAGGGTGGCAGGAGCAGGCTCGGAAGACTTTGGAGTGCAGCGCCCTGGGGAACCCAGGTGGAGGTCAAGATCTAAAGAGAAGATGGCACGTGTGCTTGGGACCTGTAGCCTGAAGAGGGACCAGGGAGATAGGGTGGAGCCTCCTAGATACGGGAATCAGGCCCTGGTAGCTGGATTTCCTTATAAGCGAAATGCTTGGGGGAAATCTTACTAAGCAGAAGTGTAAGCGATGTACACGTATTATTTCATGTGGTCCTCAAAGCTTAGGAAACTATGGCCCAGAGAAGTCAAGCAACATGCTTAATGGTGCATTGGCTGTTGGATGAGTGGCACTAGGACCACCAGGTCTGACTGACCCCAGCCCTGTCTCTTCCCAAGGCAATACAGCCTGCTATTGGCTCCTAGCACCCAACTTCCAGCTATGACCAGAGAGCTTTAGGTACAGGACAGGAACAGTGACCGCAGATGCCTGGGTCTCTCCAGAACACTCACTCCTGGGTTTTCTTTTGCTCCATCAGAGCTTCGCTCCTGCCAGAAATGGCATAACCTTGCCCTATGACTTTGAATGAGCTGCTGGGCTTTTTTGATCCTGAACTGTGCTCTACACAAAAGCCCCTGGCCTGGGGGCTCTGGATCAATGTCACTGGGTCCACCTTACCTTTGGGGCCAGAGCCCCGGCAGTGCTGAGGAGTAGAGCAGCAGCAGGAGGGTTGGGGGTGGTCCCCAAGGGCACTGCAGCCCAGCGCAGAAGTAAGCAAGTCCAAGGGGCCTGGGTGCAGACGGAAGGCCTGGAGCTCCTGAGCCAGGAGGCTGAAGCGCTCGGTTTGGCTGCGGCACTGCTCCTCCAGCTCTCGGACCCGGGCCTGGGCCAAGACCACCATGAGCCACCAGGCCATGCCCTCTCCACACAGCCCCACACTGAGCTTCAGGTCATATCCACCCAGCACCCAGACTGGGCACCAAAGCTGAGGCCTGGGCCTGCGACGCGTTGGCCCTTACATGCTGGACAGTGACACTCCTGCTTCTAGATGCTTTCTAGGCCAAAGAGGATCATCACCACCAGCAGCACCACTGCAGGCATTTGCTCAGTTCCACCCCTTGTCACCCTGTTACAGTGTGTGACCCAAATCCCTGGCCCAGAGGCAGGCAGAGACTTCATAGGATGCGGGACACTTGCTCCTGATGGGAAACGGTCAGTTCTCAGGACCTTTGCTCAGGTAGTAGGAGAGTCCCCAGATCAAGGACTCTTCCCTGGCCAGTGTCACCAGGAGCTTCCTCATGGTGTGAGAGACCACAGGAGGAAAGGCTCGAGGTCTCTCAGGCACAGTGGGTCAGGTCTGGGATGACGGTACAGCCCATGTGTCCTTGTAGGAACCCTCACCCATTTACAGATCTTCAGGTCTGCCACCAGGGACATCTCTGTTGGACACAAGCACTGGGACCCTGGGGGAGGGATGTGGGGGAGACGGGAGGGGACCCCCCCAGGGAGGTGGACAGGTAAAGAGGCGGTACCTGCATGGAATCCAAGGTAGACTGCAGCAGGGAAGAAAAGCGCAGAGGAGAGGTTAGAACCATTAGCCCTATAGGTCACTGACCCAGAAAGGGAGGGAGAGAGAGAGCAGTTCCTAAACGAAAGGACATTTTGGGGTAAAAGCAAGCTTGGGAAGTGGCAATGGGAGATGGCTGCCCCCACTTGGAATCCCTTGCCCCACCATGTCCCACTGGGAGAAACAGGCCAACCATGGAGGGGACACTCCCAGGCCCTGCAGTGTTTAGGGGCCCTGTTACAGTCCAGCCTACACCCCAGTGCACAGTCTCTGATGTCCTCTGCCACCTCCAGGGACTCTACCTCCAGCAGCTGCACGGCTCCTTCATGTTCCCTTTTGGCTTCTGCCTGGGCCTAAAGAAGGAAAGATGCTTAGGAAAAGGAAGAGAAAGGGGGGGAAGCGGAGGCAGGTGTAAGGCGAGGAAGGAGGGGGAAACAGAAAAGGGCAGGGAGAAAAGGGGATCTTGGGGGGAGGCTGAGGTTTCTCCTTCCCACCAAACCCCGCTTCTGATCCATACCTCAAACTAGAGGCAGAACAGTCCAGGAACATCCTCCTGGCTTCTCTCTGCCTCCCCGCTACTCCTTCTCCATCTCTCTTCCCACCCTTCTGGACATCGGGGTGTCCCCGGACACAGTGCTGAGCCATTTTGTACCCTGCTCTCTCCCGAGGACCCCCTAGTCACAGTGCTGTATGCACCGACCATTCCAGACACCTCCAGGACCAGCTTCCCCATAACTTGAGACTCACACACCCAACCAGCTACTTCAGAGTCTGCAGCACACAACCTAAAACAGAACTCACTGGAACTCAGGCCCCGTCTTTCAAAGCTACTAGCCTTCATCCTCCACCTCCTGGGGTGAGTGCAAAGCTCCATTGCCTCATAGCAAGCACAGCAAAGAGGGTGAGCAGGTAGAGATTCGACTGGAATCCCCATGTAGGGGTTTGGTTTGGATTGGTCTGGTTTGGGAGTTGAGACACGGACTCAATATTTAGCCCAGGCTGGCCTAGAGCTAGACATCCTCCTGCTTTAGCCTCCTGAGTGCAGAGCTTACAGTTCTGTGTCACCAGACCCCGCTCTCAGTGAGTCTTTATCAAGTCTATCTGCAAATTACATTTCAAAATCTGTGCACTGGTTTCCACCTTCATCGTCATCTGCCACCTCATCGAGATCACCACTTTCCCCCGGACCACTGGCACAGCTGCCAATCTGCGGATCACCCTTCCTTGTGCCTCACGCTGTCCATCCTGCCGATGGGACCCCAGAAAGTGATGGATCAGATCACGTCACTCCCCGTTCAAGCCTTCAGCAGCTTCTAACCCACATGGAGCAAAACATCCAAACTCCTCTCAGACGTCTAAAGTCCAACGCCTGCTGCTCTGTCTCTTGCTATATTCTAGCCACGCTGGCCCTGGACCTTTCCGCTAGCTCCTCCCTGCCACAGGGCATTGGCACAACTATTCTGCCTGTCCTGTCTGCTCCGCCATGGCTGTCCTGACTTCTTCTCACTCTCGAGGTATTGTTCAACTGTCGCCTCCTCAGGAAAGTCTTCCTTGAAGACATCTCTAAAGCCGCTGTTCACCCACGCCCATGCCTGTCTTCTCATCACTTGCCCTGTTCATGTCCCCACTGTGTTTCTTATCACAGTCATACATGTGTTTATTTGCTGATGGGTCAGGGGCCTGGCCTGTGTTCACCGTCTCCCTGTGCCTAGCACAGTGTTTGATATATGGTAGGTACTCAGTAAATGGTAGCTGGCTTGGGAGGAGGGCAACACGGAGGTCCCAAAGCTACCAGCTCCCCGCACTCTGCCCCACCTGCTGCAGCCTCCGGACCTCCTCCTGCTTCTCCTGAAGGCTGAGCCGAGCCTGTTCATGTTCCACCTCCAGCTGTTGCCGCCGCTGGGCCACCTCCCGCATGTGCTGAAACGTAAGACTTGGGGTCAAGGCCAGATCCCCCACTCCGTCATCCCCATAAGAGAGCTAAGATGATCTGCTGCAGTGCCTTCTATTAAAAAGGAAACTAAGTCAGGAAAAAGCAAAGGGTCAGCAATCCCAGGACTGGGCTGCAAGCAGAGAGAGGGCCTACTCTACTGCCCCCTTCCTCCCCCTTCCAAGTCCCAATGCCCTCTGCGTCTACCCAGGCTCCTCACCTTCAGCACCTGCTCCAGGCTCTCCAGCTTGCTCTGTAGGCCCTGGCTCTTGCGAACGGCTGAGTCCCTTTCCTGTGTCACCCCCAGGAGCTGGCCCCTCAGCTCCACGTTCTCCCACTCCACCTAGTGGGGGGTATAGGCCAGGAGCTGGGCATTGGACCTGCTCCTCACCAGGAGGATGGTACTCTTCACAGTGTACCCCACCACTTGACCTCTGCCCAGGACCAGAGCCTCTAAGCCCTAAGGCACAGTGATACCTGCTCCTTCTTGGTGGCCCTGCCACTGAGCCGAGAGTTCTCTTCCACCAGCCGTGCATTCTCATTCTGGGCTTCTTTCAGCTGCAGTTCCTAAGGGGGCAGCAGAGCTCTGAGGAGGGGCCCAGCACCTACTGTCCTCTCCACATAGGGAGCACCTGCCCTCCCAGGCAAGGCTTTTCTCCCCTGCACCCGCCGGGAAAAGACTACAGAACACAACAGGTGTGTTCCTGAGAGCAAGAGGGGTGGATGAGACTGAGCAGAATACTGGTAGGAATGGTCCCCAGGCAGCCTAAGAGCTCACCAGCTCCTCACATCGCCTCTGCTTTTTCCGAGCTTCCTGCTCCAGGCTCTCACATTTCTTTCGCTTCTTGCTGAGCTCCGACTCCTGTAGGGTCAGACCCAAGGCTCCTCATGGGGGAAGGCAGATCTGCCCACAGCAGGTCACCTCCAGCCCTTGACCTGAGACTTACCAGCTGCTGCACCCTTTGCTGTTTCTTAGGGTCCCCTATCACCACGGGTGGGCTGTGCACATTCTCCTGGGGCGTGGCCTGGAAATGCCCAGAGACAAAGAACTGGCACCTGAGAACAGGGCCCGGGGGCAGCCTACCCCAGCCCAGCTTGCCCTCAGGAGGTTCCCAGCTCAGGGCATGCTCAGCAATGAGCTCACTGCCCTGGAAGGGGCAGGGGTGCTGTCTGTCCACCACCTCCCAACATGTCCAGCTGATGTGGAGGGGCAGGGGACTGTACCCTATGTCCCCCAGACATAAGTGCTCTGAGATCCTGGGACCCGTGTGCACCCTGGGAGATGGGTCCTGTATCCAGGCCAAAGCTTTCCCTTTTTAGCATTCAGCAGCTGCCCTGCTCTGCACTCAATAACTGTCCTGGGTGTCCTTCAGCGACTGGCAGAGAAGTAGGAGGCCACTTAGGCCCCCAAGGATGTGGTGTTCTCAAAGCTAGGGGTTCAGGGCCAGGGATATAGCTCAGTGGCACAGCGCCTGCCTGGCAAGCACAAGGTCCTGCATTTGATTCCTGGTACAAAAAAAAAAAAAAAAAAAAAAGAGCTAGGAGTTTTGGATCATCCAAATCTGGACATGGCCTAGAACAGGGCCAGTCTGGCCTGGCTCACGTCCCGGTTGCCCTCAAGCCCACCCTACTGCACATCCTGTACAAAGTTTTAGGGAGGCTGGCTCTTGGTGGGAAGGGCACCCCCTCCGTGGGCAGGCCAGAGGGGCAGAACCTGAGCTAGCAGCGCCCCTGAGCCCGAGGCTTTCTTCACTATCACTATAGGGACTCTCACTCCTTTTCCCAGAAGGAATCAGGGGACTTAGATGCTCCCCACCGAAGAATCAGAGCCCTTTCACGTCCTTTGGGTCCAGAGTGGATCCCTGGTCCTCCAAACAGCGGCTGCCTGAGCCTGGCGCTCAGTGAAGGTCTCCAGTACCTGGAGACAGGTCGGACTCACCGCATCCCCGGGGGTCCTGGGCCAGGCCTGGCGGGCCGGCGGGTGCAGGAAGGGGCGTCCCCGCTCTACAGCGGTGGCGTACGAGGCGGCGCGGGCTGGGCCCAGGGCGGCTGCCAGGGCAACCAGGGATTTGCGGCCGGGCCATACCACTGGCTGCGCGGCGGGGGCGCCAGGCTGTCCTCACGGGAGGCGGAACCCGGGGACCTCAGTGAGGCTTGGTGCAGGTGCAAACATGAGAGGCGCAGAGAGGTCGCCCGCCCCTGGTGAGGGCTCCCCAGCCCATGGGAGTACGCACCCTACCGCCTAATTCCTTCTGATCAGCGAGCTGGGGGCCCGGGATCGCCCCCAACCCTAGTCAGCCGGCGCGCGCACACACGCCTGCCCTTTTGCCGGGCTCACCTCTCCTGGGGCCACCGGCTTCCTCGCCCCAGCTCTGCAGGGGGCAGCAAGGCCAGGCAGCTGAGGCGGCGGGGGCGGCCCCTGCTGGTTGCGCAGGGCGATCTGCCTCTGCAGCCGCAGCACTTCCCGCTGGGACTCACGCAGCAACCGGTCAAAGTCCCGCACGTGGAGCCACTGGGGACCCTCCTGGGATAGGACCAGGAGAGGAATCAAAAGGACCTAACCCTGCCTGCCCTGCGGTCATCCCCGCCAGGGCCCGCCCTCCACCCAGCGGAGGGGCTCCGTTGCCGGGAAAGGCGCGAATCCATCCTCCCTTGCCTACATGCCTGGTAGTATGTGCGTGCTACACAGCCACATGCTCCCAGAGCCCGTGTGGAGACATTCACCCAACTCATTTACTGGGCGCTCGCAGCCTGCCTGGCACCGTGCTAAAAGCCTTGTGAACATTCCTTCACATAAGTGTGAGATCCGTGTGGATTCGTACCTCCAGACCCACTGGCACATAGCCCAAGTCAGAACAGAAACGCCCAACTCTGGGACTCATAGCTCCACCCCCACAGTTCAGCCTTTCTCCCCTCTCCCACCTGGGCCGTTGCCAGGGGAACCTACTCCCCAGCAGCCTCTACCTTCCCCCTTCATTTGCATCTCATTAACATCTCCACATCCCACAAGCCCTGCTGACAACCCTGGCCTGCACCGGGTTGAGCTGGAAGGAGAGACCCGGGACTCCGCGCACCTTGCCCACCAGGGTGAGCCTGGCCTGCAGCTCCCTGCACTCCTGCTGCAAGGCAGCGATCTGCTTGTCCTTGGCCAGCAGAGCACTGGCTGTCTCACTGAGGTCCCTGGCTCGCTGGCGGGCGAGGGCTTTCCGGCACAACTCCAAGCTGGCCCCAGGCCGGGGCAGGGGGGCACCCACCTAGCCAGAGGATGGGTAAAGCCAAAGGTCACCTGAGAGGCTGGGGCACTCCTCCGCTCCTCACCTCTTCTCAGTGGAGGAGTGAGGATAAAACTCACTTCCACCACCCCATCTGGGGTTCCAGAGGACAAGCAGCCTCACTGGGCCACCTCTTGGCTTTCCCCAATTAAGACGGAAGGGGACCTCTCATTTTGGGCCCAAAAGATGGTGCTAATTCCAGACTGCCAATGTGATGATGGGTCTTGTCCCTGCCCCCACTCCAGCTCTACACCCTGAGATGAGCTCAGCGGGAGGCTGCAGCCAGCACCAGCATGTGGTGATCCAGAATTCTGCTCCCTGCCTACCTAGGAACCTCCCCAGCCAGCCTTTCACTCCCTCCTAGGGCTCCAGCAACCTCCCACCTCCTCACTGGGCAAGTGTTTACACTTCCTACCCTCAGCTCCTGGACTCCGGCACTCCTGGGTACCAGGAGTCCACGACTCCCAAGACCCAATCCCTGAGACTCAGGCTTTGGCTCCCCTCTTCCCCGGTCATCCAGACTATCCTCACCACCCTCAAGTTGGTTTCCTGCAGTTTCCGGGCCCTCTCCTCCAGGCGCTTGGCAATGACAGCTAGCTCCGCATTCTTCCGCTTTAGCCTCCGCACCTTTTCCTCCGTCTCAGGGAAGCTGCTGTTTCTCTGACAAGGGGTCAGCCAGAATTAGAGCACATTGGGCACCAAAATGCCCAGTCCTACTGTGCAGACCTTGGGCCAGAGCCTGGGCTCGTGGTGTGGTCCTTGGCACCTCTGGGCAGGGTTTCACCCTCTCTGGATTGTGGGACTATGTCACATCCACATGACTCCCTCATGAGGATGTCTGTGGAGTGAGGAGGGTGGGCACTGGCTGTCCTGGCTGGACCTGACAGCACCCCAACTCTCCAAGCCTCACCAGCATCTGGTTTTCCTCCTTGAGGATGGCACAGCGCTGCTGCAGCTCCCCCAGGGCCCTCAACAGCTCCAGATTGGGCTGGTCCCCAAAGCCGGTATTCAGCATGGCCTGGCATAAGAAAAGACCAGGTACAGTACCTCAAGGACCAACCCCACCCAGAGTCTCCGGGGAAAGCATCTCCCCTCCACAATCCAAGGAGACATGAAGTTTCTTTCCTGCGTCCCAGGCCTTCAGAGAGGAGCTCAGGGACCCAGAAGAAGGCAGTCTGATCCTCCCAGTGGCAACTCCTCCCCACCTCCCACCTGGTGCCTCCCGACCTATCCCCTGATCCTTCCCAACCCTGTCCATCTCCTCCTCCTGAAAAATGCCAACTCAAACTCTCATCCTGACCCCTCCAGCTCCGCATAGTCCACAAACCCCCTGCCCTCCCCCAGAGTCCTGTTCCTCCCCTCCTACTGGAGACTGCTCACACCCACCCAGAACTGTCCTTGCTGGCCCAGCCCAACACCAAGCCCTCACCCTAATCTGCCTCCTCTGGACTCTGATTCCACTTAACACCTCCACACACCCCACATCCCCAGCCCCCAAGGACAGAGAGAGACTCATGGGGGAGGAGTTACAGACTGACAGATTGTCAGGCACAGATAGACAGAGAGGCAGGGCCAGAAGAAGATGGACAGGTGGAGAGGACAGACAAATGGCCAAAAAATGGAGTCCCTCAGATTCCTGTCCAGTGAAGGGAGGACAGATAGTCATAGAGACAGGCCAGGAGAGGAGAGCAGGCAGTGGGGTTGCACCTCTTGTTTTGCCTCCTGGCTGGCAGGGAGATGTAATGAGAAGCCCAGCTTGCAGACTCCAGCCCTCCCTCAGACCCCTTACCTTAGGGAAAGCCTGCACCTCCTCATCCTCTATCCTTGAGCAGTCACGTCCAGAGCTCTCTGCTTGCCGCTTCAAGCTGATAAACCCAGCCTCTGCTCCTTCAGGATCCGTGCCTACCACTGGCCCCAGATTCTGGGCTCCCTGGGGCTGGGAACTCACTTCTCTAACCTGCAGAGCTGCTGGGGTATCAGCAATGCTCGGGGCTATGTCTCCAGGTTCGCCTCCCTGGCCCGGAGTCCAGCTCTGCCAGGCAGGCAGTGCCCAGGGTTCCATGGCTCCGGGGTCCCCAGGCGGGGGGAAGGTTGTCAGTTGCTCCATGGCAGTGCCAAGAGGCCCCAGAACTCAGGCCAGGGTACATCACCCAGCCAAGTGGGGGCACTAGAGAGGGTCATTCCGGGGCAGACCCCTTCTCCTCTGAGCTCTTGGCTTCACCGAGGCTCCATCTGGGTTGGCCGAGCTCTTCCTAACCCACAAAGGAGGCTTCAAAAGGCGTAGGGACGGTCAGAGCTGGAGCCGGGGGTATGTGAGCTGTGTTTGTTCGTGGTTGTGTGTGTGCCTAAGTATGTGGAGAAGCGAGGGCGTCCCTGTGGGGGTGGGGAGGATGTGCCGAGGCCACACACAGCAGTGCTGGGGTGAGGATGTGCGTGTGTCTCTCTGCTCTGTCTGCTCCCTCAGGCCGATGCTGCCTGGTGTGTTTGGAGGGTGTCGCTGCCCTTGTGTGTGTCGAGGAGGGTGGTGCTGTATGTCACTGACTGTGCCTGCTTCTGAGTTGCCAGTTGTTTCTGTGTGTGGGTGTCTGTATTGCAGGGCTGTGGCAGTGTGTGATGCTGTCACTGGTTGTATCTGAGTGTGTTGACGTTGTGCAGCTGCATGCATCCGTGTCAGTGTGTCTGTCAGTGTCTGTGGGGCTGGTCATCCATCGTGACCCCTCAGCCAGGCTAAGGTCTTCAGGGGCTGCTGGGGGTAAGCCCCAGTGGTCTGCAATGGTCCTTTACCTCCCGCTCCTCTCTCCGTTGCTCTCACTTGCTTGCTGGGTGGCCGGGCTGGTCCTAAGGAGGCCTGGGTCGATGGGCTGCTTGCCTCATAGTCTCTCCCACTGCTAGCCTCAGCCCAGGGGACTGCAGGGGTCCCCTACAGCCCCGGAGCCCTGAGATGGTGGGTGCAGAGGAGGGCTGAGCCTCAGAATGGGGAGGGGGGAGCCTGAGAGAGCCAGCCCTCCTTTCCCCCTCCTCCTCCTCTCCCGCCTACCAATAGGAAGTCGGCTGCTGGTTTCCATGGTGATGGTGCTGGACTGGTGGGCTGGACCGGCTGGCAGGGTCGGGACAGAGGGAAGAGCAGGTTCCTCACGGGATGCCAGCTCAGGGACGCCCCTTGTCCCAAAAGCCGTACTGAGGCCAAGGGGCTGGAGACTGTCCTCTCCGCACGGGGGCGAGATGTAGACAAGAGAAGGATGACAGAGAGCCAGCCACAGAGAAGGGTAGGACTGGAAAAGATGGGATTTGAGATTAAACAAAGAAAAGTAAGAGATGAAAACAGGAAGACACAAGCAAAGAGACAGAGGTAGAAATGAACTGAGGACATTGCCCAGCTCCCTCCTGACAGACCACATTTGGGGAGCAAGATGGTTGTCCCAAGCCACCACGGGAGACTAAGTGACCTAGTGGGCTGGCTTTGTCCTGAATTGTCTGGAAGTCTGTCTTCTGTGTAGCCTTAAAGCTCTTTTGCTAGGAGCAAATGGCTTTTTGGAACAAAAAAATGTAGGCACTCCCTTACCCAGGGATCAGCTTGTACGTGTGGCAGCAGAGGCCTAGGCAGAGTCCCCAGAAAGAGAGGTATCTTTGTGAGAGGCCGCAGGACAGCCGAGCGGCAGCCCCTCTCCTGTGTCAACCTGGGATGCGGGGACCAGCTGGTCTCAGTTGAGGTCGGGGGCCCTCATGTGGCACCCTTGTGAAACAGCAGCAACAATCCTAAACCACAGAACCACTGACAGATAGTAGGCTCCACCCAGAGCCCATGAAAGGAGGGAGGGGAGGGGGTGCTCAAGGAGGGGGTACCATGTTCACTTCCTTTACATGGGGTATAATCAGTATGCATGCCACTGCATGATGTGCGTTGCTGACGTTTATGGTAGGGTATATATGCATGCCGTTATGCAAATATATATGTATGCTATGCAAATAGAATTGACACGCATTTCTTTCTGTATGTGGACGGCATTATATACATGTGTGCTGTTGTGTCTATGAATCTCATGGACACACATGGCTAGACATTTATGTGTGTCACTGCATGTCTATTTACCAATGTCTATATATAATATATATGTTTTTCTGTAGATGAATCTAGTACTGAGCTTCTAAATGACACCTCTGTCATGATATAGGTATATCAATACCCACACCTGTAATCCTAGTACTTGCAGGACCTTCCAGGCCAGCCTGGGCCACACAGAAAGACCCCAGCTCAAAAAAATAAAAACAAAAAGGTGTAGTATTTGTACATAATCTAGATAGATGCTGCCATATTTTTGTACTGTGGTGCTGGGGCCTAACCCCAGACCTTGCGCATACTAGGAAAGTGTATTACTATGGTATTACATTCCCAAGCTCTCCTTTATACCTTTTAAATCATCTCTAGATTTATCATATTTAATATAATACAGCCAGGCCTGGTGGCCCCAGCACTTGGGAGGCTGAAGCAGGAGGATTGCTGTGAGTTCAAGGCCAGCCTACGCTACATAGTGAGTTTAAGGACAGTCTGAACTGCACAGTGAGACCCTGGCTCAAAAAAAAATTAATAAACTTTAAATGCAAAGTAGATAGTTACATCGCATTTAGAGAATAATGACAAGGTGGAATAAAAGCTTGTAGATGGTAAATACAAGCATGGTTTTTCAAATATTTTTGATCAAAGGGTGGTTGAATCTAGGGATGCAGAACCCACAGATATGGGGGGTGAATATGTGAACATCATATTGATGTTCAAAGCCCCCTGGCTTTGAATTCACTGTGTAGTCCAGGCTGGCCTTCAACTCTGGATGAACCTTCTGCCTCAGCCTCCTGCGGGCTGGGTTTAGAGGCACACACCACCATACTCAACTCCATGTATCTGTTTCATATTTATCATCACTTAAAAAATGTCACTCTATGTGTATGTGTTTAGAGCCATTGTACTTATTATGAATGTCACTATGTCTTTGGAGAACTAGTGACATGTCATGTTTTACATTACATGTAGATACTGTCAAATGTGTGCACTCTCGGTGAGCATATGACCATTTGTCATTGTGTGACATGCCAGCTATATCCCATGTGTCAATGCGTGTGTATGTTGCTAGCATACATGTATAGAGCCTATATGTAATGCACATGTGTGCTGGTGCATGTGTGCTCTGTACATTAGTATCTGTGCTCTTATTTATGTACAAGAGGCTATACACACAGTATGCCATAATGGTTTTGCCCATTTTTTACACCACTGAAGACTCTCCAGCCCAGCATCTTGGTACAGGCCTCTAATTCCAGCATTCCAGAGGCTGAAGCAGGATTGTGATTTCTGGGGCCACCCTGGGCTGTAAAGTGAGACCCTGACTCAAAAAATGGGGAAAAAAAGAACCCACTCTCCCAGCCATAGATTAAAAACCAGAAGTAGCCAAGAAAAGGGGGCTGGGGAGATGGCTCAGTGGAATAAGCGCTTCAGGCCTAAGTTCAATCCCCGGTTCTGCCAAAAAAAAAAAGAAGTAGCCAAGCACCATGGTGGGTACTTACAATCCCAACACTCTGAAAGGCTGAGGCAGGAGGAGGATTGCTGAATTTGAGGCCAGCCTGGGCTACCTGGTGAGTTCAAGGCCAGTCTAAACAATGAGACCCTGTCTCAAAAATAAATACCTGGGGCCAGGGAGATGGCTCAGGAGAATAAGTGCTTCCTTGGCAAGTGCAAAGGCCTGAGTTCAATCCCCGGTTCCATAAATAAACAAACAAATAAATAAATAAATAAATGCCTAAAGTAGCTCAGGGCTGGGGATATAGCTCAGTGGCTTAAGTGCCTGCCTGGCAAACACAAGATCCTAAATTCAATCCCCGGTACCAAAAACAAATAAATACAGTAGCTCATGCAAAGGCTCTGGTTCAATCCCTCGCACCACTAAAAAACAATAAAACAAGAAGTAAGCAGCCTTTAGCGTGGGGCCGTAGACAATGAGTGGAAAGCACAGTGGACTGGAACTAGGCTCCGAGGTGGGGGCCTCATAGCTCTGCCCCTTTCTTCAGATTGCAGGAGCTTCTTTCCTCTGGCTGCAACCTGACCAGGCCTAGAGCCTCTTCGGTCCTTCTCCAAAAGCAAGTTTTCTTTCTCTCTTGGGCAAGTGAGAGGGACCCCCTCACAGCATTATGTGTCCACACCACACATTCCCACTCAGCACTCCCCAAAAAACCAGCAACAGAGTCTCAGACAAAAGAAAAGCAGAATCCATTCTTTATTAGTATCGGGGCCCCTGCCCGACACCCCAGCCCCCACTTCCCAGTGGCTGCCTATGGCTGCTGCACCAGGCCCACATGTCCAGCCCTCTCCTACCCATTCAGGACTTCAGCACAGATGCAGTTGTGAGGAACCAAGAAGGACCGCCCTGCGGGGGGACAAGGCAGGTCTTTTAGGGGTCCAAGTAGGGTGGGAACTACAAGAAGTGCTCACCTGTCTCACGTGGTTCTGAAGCGCAGGAAGGCGGTGGCGGGTGGTGGCAGCGTGGCGTGGTCTCCGAAGCCCACAGTACACTCATCCATAAAGTAGGAAACACTACACCCTCCAGTGCTGTTAGTAGTGCTTTCTACTTTATGGGTGACTGCACTGTCTGTCTGTCCGTTGTGTGTACTCTTCTGGCCACCACTCTTCCTCCTGACTCCGGCCTGGAGAGCTCCCCCCCTCTCCAGCCCTTTCTGTGTGGCTTTGTAAGACCCTTCCACTTGACCCGTGGCCCCCAGTGGGCCCGCCCTGGGCCTTGTGGGTGGTGACTCAGCATGACGCCATACTTGCCTCCTCTACCTCCCTCCCCCACTTCCTCTTTGGTTCCCTCTTCCCTTCCCCTAGGGCTCCACCCTACCAGGCCCCACTCAGGTAGAGTGCTCAGGAGGTGCTCAGGGATAGATATCCCTGGTAGATAGATATCATGGATACTCTGAAGGCCTCACCTCCACCCCTAGTTCTTCAACCTGGCAACTGACCCCAGCCCCCAGCCACACTGCCCATTGCCTGCTGTCCAGAGTCCAACTGAGGCAGTCACAGCCTTCTGGCCTCTAGGACTTCTGTCCCCAGCCTCCCCCCAGACCCAAGGATCTGATTTCCTCACTTCCTGCTGCTCCCCAAGCAGGAGCTCTGTATCTCAACAGAAACGGTAGCCATGTTGGGTGGGGGAAGTGGTGTGGCGTCTGTCGTTGGCCCAGATAACACTTTCCAGCCTTCACCCACCCTGCTCTCCACTCTCCTCCCCTGAGCCTTAGACACCCATTTTTCCTCTCGGGGCCAGGAGCCATATAATTTTTCTTTATCTATTATTTCTTTCTTCTTTTTTAATTCTGGGAATTGAAAAAGGGCTTTGTGCTTGCCACTGTGCTAACTCGCAACCCTTTTTATACTTTGAGACAAGGTCATTAAATTGCCCAGGCTAGCCTCAAACTTCCAGTCCTCCCAACTTAGTTCCCCAAGTACCCAGCATTACAGTCATGCGCCAACATACTCAGTTCTTTTTACCTTCTAATCCTACCTCTAGTGAAGGAGGAAAAAAGAATTTTAAGAAGCTGTCCCACCATGAAGGCCAGTGAGTTTGAGGGTCGTAGCACCTCTCTGCCTAGAACTCTACTAGGAAACTTTGGCACCCAAGCCGCTGACCTCCCTGCTCCCCCCCATAACCCAAGCCCCTCATGACCCCTTATGGCCCAAAGCCAAAAAGCCCTAGTTAGAGCAGGCGTAGAGGCTCAGGTCCTTACCTGATGCTGAAGGGCTGAGGGGAGCAAGCCCTGTGCTCCAGGCTCCAAAGTGGGGTGCCCTTCAGGGCGGGCAGGGCTTATAACCCTGAGACCACGTGGGCCAGATCTCAGGGCGCCCAACGGTCTTGGAGTCCGCCCCCACACCGCAGTGGAGATTAGCCACCCCTCCCCTCCCTGGGGAGGACAGACTGACAGGAAACCAGAGACAAGGCTGAGTATTGGCGGGAGCGGGGCTGAGGAGACCATTTCACATGTGCTGGGCAGGTGGCTTCCGGGACCTCAGGCTGCACCCTACCATCTCCACAGCACCAGCTCCAGGGGACAGCCCAAAAGTCTGGGACTGACTGAGGGCACTGGGGGTGACCTCTGAAAGAATAACTCCCTGACAGGGCCTTCAGTGAATGCCTAAAACAAGGAGTCCTGAGCTCCAGCGCAAGAAAGGGACATTTTCCCTGGGTCTCAACCCCACTGACCTCAGCCCAGAAAATATCCTTCTCTTCTGGACATTCAAACCAAGTCCTAGCTCCTCTAAAAGTGCTCCCCAGAGAAGCCATGAAGGAAGAGACATAGAATGGGGGTCCAGGCCAAAAGACTTCTCTGCATCAGTTGCTCAGAGCCCACCCCTCCAGCAGCCTCAGCCTCAGCCTGACTTCCTAACACAGTGTGCGTGCGTGTGTGTGTGTGTGTGCACGCGTGTGTGTGTTGGGGAGTCTCACTCAGGCCAAGTGGGCCTATTGGCACTGTGCTGGGGGTTCATATGTCTTTCAGCGGCTAGAAGGACAGGAGGGCAGGGCAGAGCTGTGGTGAGGACCAGGGTCCTCAGGCAGGTATAGGTGCCATGGGGCAAGAGGGAAAGAGGGCTTGCAGATGGGCAGAAGAAGCAGCTCTGAGGAGAGTTTCTGGCAGCCCCCGGATGTGGGCACGGGGCCCGCCCACCTGCATGTCACCCGCGCTTTCCCCATGGGGAAGGCAGGAAGCTGCCCTGCCCAGGGGCCCTGGTTGGAGAGGGGAGCAGGGTGTGGGTCTGGGCAGGGGGCTGGGGTGGGCTGAGTGTAGGCCACACATTTTCTCCAGGGTCCTCCAAGCACTTCAGCAGGCTCTGGAATCAAGAGGAATGGGCTTAAGTGAAGCTAGAAAAGATAGACAGGAGTGGATAAGAACTACTAGTGACACTTTCCCAGAAGGCCATAGGCCTCTTCTCTGGGACCCCATCTAAGCCCAGGCCCAGGCAGACTTCAGGGAACTCTCAGATTCAGTGCCCAAAAGACAACGTGGGTGTAGGGGTCAGGAGGGTCACCCCATACCCTTTCTTGCAGGAGGGAGGACATTCAACCTGGAAAACTGTACCCATTCCCAGTCCCCTAAAATAAGTCAGAGAAAGGGGAAAACATATCCTTCACCCCCTAAGATTGGAAGAAAAAGTTATGGGGAGGGCAGCCTGTAGGGCCACTGGCCAGAAATGGGCCAGTGCTCCTTTAAGAGACCCCCTCTGTCCTCAGACCTGAGTGAGGGGAAGTGACTGCGATAAGAGGATAAGAGTATCAAAGTTGTGCAGTAACCTGAGTCCCTGGTTCCCCATCTTTAGGGCCCCCCCATAGCATCTTGGCCTCCACCCCTGCTTAGGGCTCCCCACAGCCATCATTTCAGAGGTGTCCTGTCTGAGGACAAGACTGCCACAGATCAAGAGCCACGCCATGTGCATTCTGGGCCCAACTGTGCCTCCTCAGTATGTGTCCTGCAGTGAGTGAGACGTGCAATTCCAAAGGCCACTCAGCGTTCTGATAATCCACAAGCCAGCTTCTCTCCTGTCCTGAGAAGGGCAGGGGTGACACTTGTACCATGAGGGCACTTTTCCTCTGTGCCCAAAGACGTCACCAATTTGTTTTCAACAGAGAGCCTGCCACCCAGTCTCTCTTCCTGCAGAACTTCTGGGGTGAGGATATTTCTGGAGGTGCCAGGCCTTCCCCAATTCCATCTTGAGGCTGGGAGTGAAGATGGATGGAACTGAGGAGGGTCTCAGTATATGGACCCCAAATTCTCCACCCATCAGTGATTCCCTAATTGGATGGGTCTCAAGGGGAAAAGACTTAAGGTATAGGTCCCTGGAAGGGCACTTGCCTAGCATATGTGAGGCTGTAATTTTGATCCCCAAATCCTGGAGGATGGGGGAGAAGAGCAAATGAAGGGGTAGAGCCTGAGACAAGTGCACAGACAATAACGCCCTAGGAGAGTGGCTATGTGATGCCCAGGACTGCACGTACCCCTGTGATGACTGGAGATGCTAGGCTAGATGTCCTACCCTTGGGTCAGCCAGCCCGATACATACATGCGGCCTGTGTAACTGGCCAGCAGGTGTCCCAGGGAAGAACAGTAGTGAATGTGTGGACAGGCACACACATGCACGCACATGGCCTAAAAAACTCAATAGTTTTGTGGTCTCCTCTTCAGATACACAGGCTCATATAGACACACTGCCCGCGCAACCAGCTCAGACCTGCAGAGCCCTCTTAAGGAAGGCCTTCCGGATACATCTGCCTCCTCCTGGAAGACACGAGAAGCCTCACTCGGGCCAGTGCGTGAGAGGGTGAATGGAAGGATTTGGGGGTGGATTGAGAACATGGATGCCTCTGGGAGAGACTAAACCCCTGCCCCAAGCTGTCGGCTGCCTGCTGCCTGAGCTACCCCGGATGAGAGGAGCCAAGACTTTGATGGTGGCCTGTGGCTAAAGAAGGAGGTTTTGGGCTGGGGGTGTAGCTCGACTGCACAAATGTCTGCCTGGCAAGTGCAAGGTCCTGAGTTCAATTCTCAATACAGATGGGGGGGGGGAGACCACTTGGATTCTGCTGTAAAATGTCCTCTGAAGTCCTCTCTGGTTCTAACATTCTTAGTTCAAGGGTCAGTGTTCCCTGCTCAAAAGAGGCAGGGCTGGGGAGAGCTAGCAGCAGACACAAGGGTGGGAACAGCCCTTTCAGCCTTTTCCTGTTCAGAACAGTGAGGTCATTCCCCTGGGCTCACAGTCCTTCAGGCCCATCCCCACCTCAGTGACCTTGGGGACCTTTGTGTACTAGGCTGAGGCTGTTGGCAGGTGAGGGTGAGCCTGAGGAGAAAGAGGTACAAGACCTTCTCTACGTGCTCCCAGTGTGATGGGCAATGTCAGCAAGTTTTGTCAGTGTGGGTGAGGAGTTTGTAGTCAAAGCAGGGTACAAGTGTCAGGTCTGACAGGGGTGATGGGAACAGGTGGCTCCTACTGTCAGCAAACACTGAGTATGAGGTGGTGACGCAGGACACGCACACAGCCCATGACATACACCTTCTGACAAAATTATAGCAACAAGTGCACAGTAGTCTACTATGGGGTTGATGAGCCATGGCGCTGGCCAGGTGGACACAATGGCAGCTTCAGAGTCCATCAAAGAGGATGGGAAGTGCATGTAGGTGGGAGAGGATTTGGAAGAAGAAATGGGCATGGCAGAGAAACGGGGAGAAAATGGTTGCTTAAAGGTTAAAATGTATAAGGAGAGCAGATCCTGAGAGTAAAAGAAGAAAACCAAGACTTTTCCCCCAGCTGCATGGGGCCTGGAGCCCTCCCTTAGCAGGCAGGCAGAGATGGCAGTCCAGATAACCTGCCTTGTGAAGAGACAAGAAGAGAGAAGCCACAGGGCCTAACCACTCACAAACAGGAAGTCGAGGAGGCACAGAGGCCCGCCCTTCAGCGAGCCAGGGCTGGGGACAGACCTGGCCACAAAGGAGGGAAACTGAGCCCCCAGCATTGCAAAATGAGGCTGAAGCCAGTAGCAATGAGTAGTCCCAAATGTTGGGTTCCTTCCACACTTCCCTGGAGGGCCAGCCAAAGGGAAGCAGGTATCAAGAGAGGGAAGTACCTCAAAACCCCAATAGCCCACATCTCCGGCAGGGGTCATGTCAGTACCTAGGAAGGTCCCCTGGTCTCGGAGCCTTGGGAACATGAGCAGCACTACCAGGCCTGTGGGCTTTTTAGACCTTTTAGTCTTACTTGCTCTTCCCAGAGGCCTCTAAGATTAATTTTTTTTTTTTTTTTTTTGGTACTAGGGATTGAACTCAAGACCTTGCACTTGCCAGGCTGTTGCTCTCCGGCTGTACTCCATCAGAGAAGGGCCGATCCAGGGAACTCACTTTGCTCTAATGCAGGGTTCTGACTCATCTCTCCTGACAACAAAAGATCCAAAAATTCTTAAGTAGCAAAGTGAGGCAGCACCTGGCCCTGAGTCAGGAAACCAAGAAGCAAGCCCAAAGAGAGACAGAAGGCAGCTTGAGGTCACCAAGTAGCTAGCCCCTAGTCCACGGTTCTTTCCAGAGTATCTGGAAGAGGCAGATGAGCTGAGGGGAGAAGGCCACCTGACCACTGCTACAGGAGTGGTTGTGAAACTAGAAGTGTTCTCTGGGATCTCCTAGAGATACACACAAGGAAACGAAAGCCCCATCCTCACACAGTGCCTATTTAACTTGAGTAGCTGCACCTGCTCTGTTTTTAACAAAACCATAGAAAGGGAAAGGGAGAGAGGGAGAGATGGTGGCTCCCTGCCTGGGACCCAGTATGATTTCCCATCAGCCAACTCCCTACCCTCAACATCAGGACCACCAAGTGGACAAAACTGGGAGACAAGCAACTTGGGACCTAGTTCCCACGCCATGGCTATTTATAGTGTAACTTTGGGCCTCCCGGCCTGTATCTTCATCTATAAAATTAGGGAGGGACCTGTGGTGCTCAAAGATGTCCCCAAGGACAACGAGGGCCGGGGACCTTGGAGGGGAGAAGCAGCAGTACCTGTGCTCTAGAACCTGTCTGGCCACAGAGCGGCTGTGCATCTTCCCAGCTGGCTCATGGCCAGACCTCCAGAGACCTGAGAAGCCACAGTGGCTAAGGAAGAGCTCCTTAGAGGGACCAGGCTGGGAATAAAGGGTAAGGTTGTATGCCCCCTCCTGCCAGCCTGCTGCCCCTCACAGGATTCCTCACATCCCAGGAACAGCTGGGAAAAGCAGAAGGTGGGAGGTGAGAAGAAAGAC